CGTACTATTGATTTATTCAACAGCGGCTACAAGTCATTTACCATGATTAATTCGTTTCGGGTTCGGCCTTTGCTATCACAGACCGTTCTACCGGCCCAAGTTGGTTTAATTCGAAGCGGTCCTTTCATACGGCGCAAAATGTTTGCTGCAGTCCTAAAAACCGCGAATGGTGAGCCCAAACTGCATCGTTACATCGTACTGCTTCTTGATTTCGCTAAGACTTACGACACACTACAACGTCCATTTTTGATATCGGTGCTGGCATGGCTAGGCTTCTCATCTCGGCTCACATCAGTCGTGGCTACATTACACCACGGCAAGACTTGCCGATAATCAGTGAACGGCTAACACTCCAGAAGCCGAATGGTTTGCTGCGGTATTCGACAAGGGTGCCCACTATTATCACTACTCTTCCTACTGGCTCTCGATAGTGGGTATCGGGTGATCAAAAAAAGGTGGAAGTTCGCGACGTACCTCTCACCTCAGGCGGCCGGACGACTGAGATCAAGCTCCTGGAATATGCCGACGACACGGCAGTACACCTGCAAGATCGGACAGCGGTAAAGCTTGTTGTTTTCAATTTTGGAAGAATCGGCAATGATATTGGGTCTTGAGACGAATAGAGCTAAGTCTATGGTTGCCGAGCTAGACCCTAGCGGTGAGGCATTACCTCTCGACACCCGCGGCCATACTCTTCTAGCCTCCAGCGATTCATACTGATACTTCGGTGTTATGGTAGGGCAACAGGACGCAATGGACGACATTTAAATGAAATGTGTACGATACTTCTTGGTGTCGACTCGTTCTGGCCACAGAGAAGACTCACACAGTCAAGCAGCGGGCCCTCTTCGCCAGTGCCATTGCGGTGCCCAAGATTACCTATCTAGCACTTCATTGTTGGCCTCCTCCTGCCTTTGTCACCCAATTGCATATATTGGTCAAGAAATTTGTACGGGGCATCCGTGATGGCAAACGATCCCAACCTTTAGTGCCCGCTGAGATTGTCTACTTTACCGATACAGCAAGGAGGCCTTGTGGTGCCGTGCAACAAACGAACTTCTAACAAAGGCGGCGATAAAGGTTGGGCAGTGGGCAGCTACGGTTTCAAAGAGGGATTTGCTGGTTGCAGATGTCCTGCGCGGTAATTCCTGGGTCAGCCCGGCTTATATTACGCTGTGTTGGACCGAAAACACGTATCCCGGATACAGGTCGTCCATCTGGTTGAATGGTTCTGAAATTTTTGGTCTCTCCGCCGCTCGGCATGCCGGTTAAGGCGAAGCCAAGGAAGGCTGCCTCCGGGCTATAATCTTTAGGTTAAAAGCCGAGGTCGACTATAATGACGATGGAAGCGTCTCAATTGATGTCCGACGAGCGCTTGATGACAAGATGCGAGCTGGAATGAAGGCCGAATACTCAGCATCGGGTCGTTCTGACACTAGATGGTTTAATCACGCTTCGATGAAAGGTGTGTCGTGGCTGCGAAATATAAGGGTAGCCCCCACCAGTTTAAAGGTGTTGCGTTTGCGACAGAGCAGACCTACCTGGGCGACACAATGGCTTGGAGAACGGTGCAACGTGGAGTTGTACAATTCTTACCACGCGAGATGCGGCTACCCAATCGATGGCAAAACAAAGAAATTTTGGATCTTTCCGTGTAGCCCTCCTCTACAACTGCCTTCGATCGTGTATCGGGCTATCGAGTCAGGGGCCTTAATTGCGGACTTGTCCAAGATCCATCGTCATCGTAACTGGAACTGAGTCGCAACGGTACGACGCTATCCCACTTAGACACGGTCATGTCTTGCGGGGCGACTCCCGTCTTATAGATGTTAGCGTGCGATAGCGCTACCTCCTTAAACAGTGGATCTAATACCCACTTTGGCGCACATCCGTGCTCACGCAAGTCGTGCAGCTTTCAGCTAAATCACGAAGATGACTTCTGCAACGCAAACAGCTTGAGCATATCCTTTCCCGGCGGCTGTGTCAGGAAGGGAATCGACTGCGCGACAAGCGGGTCACGAAGCCGGACTTTCGAGTGATTTCAACAAGTACAGATCTGATCGAGTGGAGGGACCTTCGACAAAATAGGGCGACCTATCCAGCCGGTGCGCAGACGCTGTACAGACTTGAAAAAGGGTTATCAACTCTGGAATTGGGCGGCTCAAGACCTGTCATTCCTGCAACCGAGTGTTCACCCACTCTCCGTGCAATGGCAAGTCACATCTTCTAGAACTGCTTTTAGTGCCCAAAGACACTGTCATAATCGAACATCTCGGTGGCGAAGTCTCGGCGACATTAAGGAGGATGACCATTCAGTAAGGTGTTTGGAATGGACTTGCCGCGTCTTCCAAGCGCGGCATGGAACGCTATTATGGATGTTCTCCACCCGGAAGACGTGTCGTCGGGTGCGAAGGATGCGGTCTTTACGGCAGTTCGCGAGCTTTGACGTTTCGTCGTTTGTACGACGCTACATGCCATCTGGATCGAGTGTCTCCGACGAATGGAGGACTCATTTCTGCCATAGGAGGTACACAACGCCAGGGCTCAAACTTAATTTCACCGATGGGCCACTCGTTTTCGCGGGTCCACGTTCCAGCCAGATGTGGGAGCGGATGGCCAACTCCTTCGCACGGATGCGGTAGGCCCTTGCTGACTCCCTCCTATGCGACGATGCCCCCCATCGTTGCGAGCGATGCCAAGCAACAGCGCCTTAGACGTTCTTACCTTTTGTTTTTCGACGGTCGATCGAGCGAAATTCCCGGACCGGGTGGGGCTGGATCCGTCATCGTCAGATTGCACGTTCCGACGCACACCGTTTGCATCATGTGGGTGGCGAGCATGTCCTAAAGCTCTACTCAAACTACCAACAACGTCACGGAATACCGAGGGCTAGTCACCGGTCTCTGCCAAGCGAGAGCTAGCGGATACTCACCTTTGCATGTCGTTGTAGACAGTGCGCTCGTGCTATCCCAACTTCGTACCCATCACCCCTCTAGCAAGCCACACCTGAAATTGCATTTTCGGGACACACGGGCTTCAGCAGACTATATTATCGTCGCCAGCTGGGACCATCACTACCGCGACTACAACAAGATAGCGGATAGACTGGCCAGTCTCGCTATGGACTCATGTGCATCCATTCAAGTGCACGCTACCTCGGGGCACCGTGTTGTCTCAGAGGCCGCGGCCTTCCTCGAAAAAAAAATAATCACTGGCTGGAGGCTTCCCAAGCTGGTCCTACCGAACTACAAAGCCGCGCAACACATGCGAGGGGTCTAATAATCTCGAGACAACACCTTGTGCAGCGCCACTCGGCCGTCCGAAGACTAGCTCTACCCAAGTGTATAAGAGTAGATATCTACACGGTACTATTGTTTGCCTGTAGACAAGATACAGCGGGTCGTTCGCGTACCTAAATATACCTCATTTTCCAATCATCTACCGTATCTGGGATTGAGGTAATGACGCTTGTTACATTGTTCGCAGCCATCTGAATGGAAAAATATGAAAGTATCTAAATGTGGGTGATAAGTGTCGTCTATTTTTAACACCAGTACGTACAGCACATCGATATTTTAGCGGCTGAATGCTTTTGGTAATTAAATCGGGCAGACCATTTGTCCTTGACTCTTTTTAGCGACTCAAAGATTTTATAACTTTTCAGCAGTCTTTTTCATGCCTGAGTGAGGAACAGTCCAGCTTCGGTGGTGAACTCGATGAATTTCGCTTTGCACGAGTAGCCTTAATCGTGAAATGGTCGACAGTGATGCAACAATCACCACGAGATCGAAGTTATCTGAACAATCATATGTCAAATTGTGTCAGCAGCGTGAATTATTTATCAGGAAGATAATTTCGGAGCGTATCTTGACGTTGAAGGATCCAATTAGCAATTGCCGAATCATTCACGAACACCTTCCGGCTTAGGTCAATGTATATTGGTGCAAGCGCAATTAGTTTGTTGGGCCACACTAATGCCACGTACTTCTTTGCGTACTTGCCTCGAGTCAAGTATATTATCATTTCACCTTGGCAAGCAGTCATTTGAACGATGACATCTCCTTAACGGATATGGCATCTTTAGTTATCGTGTCAGCAGCTTCAACAGTCTCGCGATGCGTGCGATCCGAAATGTGTTTGCGCTATCACTTGTGCTAGCAGTCCGCTATCAGCTTTCGCGTGATCTCCAAGCTACTTTGACGCGGTAGCTGTGACGCGCGAATATTACGATCGGAGTCGCTTCAATGAAAGTTCACAATGCGAAAGAAGCGCTGTCGTCGCATATCGAATGTGCGCTTGTACTGGAAAAGGACTAATACACACGTACAGCGTACTGCAACATCGTTCTGTAACATTCACTGACCCACCTCGTGTTTTGAAGGAGCTACTCCCGGCCTGTCATTTCAATCGGCGCAGGCAAATTTCTATTCCGTTTTTTGCAGTATAAAAGGATACAGCGTTACCGCAATGAGGTTAACTGGTGGCTACACCAACGGGCAGCGCAGAAGTCACGTAGATCAACCGCACAGAGAAGTGCTAATCGAAGAGTAGCGGTGCTTTTGATACAAGCAGACATATGATGTAACCGCGAATAGCGGTACTGGCCTGACGTCATTGCTACATGAGTCAGCCGTCAAAGCTTCCATCTATCCTTGGTAGTTTCCACTGCAAGCACAATAAAGCAATACAATGGCCTCTGGGGTGAGAGCTTTGCCACCGGTTTTACTTCAGAAGCGCATTTGCGTTAAAAACGTCGTCTACTTGCAGTGTAGGTTTAATCACTCCATGTCACGCTGCTCATTCCCACCTTCATGGCCCAAAAGAGCACCTACGTCATACGGATGTTCATGCCCTTCCTGCCTCGATTTCGAACGATATCAAATACAGAAACACATACAAAAAAAGAGACGCGTCTTCTCTACCGCACGTACACAACAGACGCTTTTTTTACAGACGCTAATTAGCAGTTACGTGCGCTATTATAAAGTGCCGACAACAGGATGGTTGGGCTGATTATAGTCGCGCTCGGCGTCACGGTCTTCGCGGCCGTCGCTCTATGGCTTCATCACGCCCCCAAAAGACTGGAGAACAACACAAGCACCACGTCGACGCGCAGCAGCGACGACGAGGACGAAGTTTCGGCTGCTCCGCTGAGTGTGGACGTCGTAGCTGACCTCGATGAGAGAGGGTCATTGCTGCCAAAACTAGCGGGTTTGCTGCGTTCTCCAAGTCATAAAGTAGCTACTAGAATCAAGCAGGAGCCTGTGATGATGCGTGCAGCGTCGAGACCCGCTCGCTCTGGTTCGCTGACGCTGCCTCTTGGTGCAAGAACGAAACAGTCAGAAAACGTGCCTGCTAAAAAAGTTCATGTGCCATATTTTTATCCATTGTTGGACGAGACTGCAAAGTGGTGGCAGACACAACAATGTCGAGCAGACAATTTGTCCGAGTTGGTGCAGGATGAGGAACCAGAAGCAGATCAAGAGGAACCAGTGAGCGGGGACAAGTGGTCGACGGAGTTGCTGAACAAGAACACGCCCATGTCAACGGTACTGCCAAAGGAATTAATTCGGTTAGAGGACAATAGCGTCGTCTCCTGACCGCATCATTGATGATCGACGTTTAGAGACAGTGATGGCGATGACGATGACGAGGTAGTGGTGCACGCTGCGCTCCGAAATGAAGACTTGTGTAACTTGGTGTACAATAGGCTAGAGTTCAGAGACATTTGCTGTAATAATGTGAAGAGTATGTCAGAGTTGGAGGAATGATGAGGCTAGCGATCAAATGCTATGGTGCAGAAGGCAAAGCTCAGCGTAACGATTATTTCTTGTGCCTACTTGCACGACTGAACCGACAGTAGATGTGTCCACGCTGTTTTGTTCGCGGTATACTGCAAAAATCAGACTGACTTGATTGATTGCGAGCAGCCCAAATCGAGTTGGTTTTGACGTACCGCTAGAAGATGCTAGATGAGTGTTCATCAGCATCTCGGCGTTGACTTCAGTCTCGTGGACATTGTGCTCACACAAGGTTCTACTAGCCTTGAAGTGGGATACGACACGTTGCACAGAAGGTATGTCCTCGCTTTGCCCTTGCCACCCTCAGCATTCATTCAATCAAATCCTCCGATGCATCTAGTTACCGTAGCTACCACAACGCTGCATGAAAAGTCAAACCAGCGACTTGTTTTTGCCAGTGCAGCCCCAGAAAAAGTAAACTTACTGCCAGTTCAAAACCCGCGACATATGAGCTCCCGATCAACCCGTCATATCACAAATCCACATCCCATCTCCTACTTTTGCAAAAAAATCACATCGTCCACTCAAAAAGCACTTTCTCTCTCTGCCCGAGCATTCTGGGCCACGCACGGATTATCTCGATGATTGGCTTTTATCGCCATGGCATCCGAACGCGGGTTTGAATTCCGCTCGCGCGACCTCGAGCAGCTCGTGCACGACGGCGTCCTGTCGTCCCGTCGCTACGCCCAGTGCACACGTTTCCGCCCTGGCGTCTTCTCGCTCTCTTCGACCCTCGTGCCGATTGACGTGCACCAGCAGCAGCGCAGCGAGAAGAGATTAGCGCGCGCTCTGAACGCGCTTCAAACGGATTATCGCGTGAGTTTATCGCTCAGTAAAGAGGCACTGGGCTTCACTAATTCGCTAGAGGACGCGCTGAGTTTCTTGGCGCTCCAGTGCACGAGTGAAGAGCTGCCGAAGACGCTCCGGGCGCCGTCTACGGAGCTCCAGCGAGGAAAAGACGCGGCCAATGGACGTGGAGAGCTCGCGGCCGAGCTGAATGTCCGTGCAGATGGATATGAGAGGGACAGGGAGCTAGTGGACTTTCAGGAGGAGAATGAGGAGGTGCTGGAGGATGTGGAACGAGCACGTGGAGCTGTTGACGTGCTTGGAGTAGCTGGAGAGCAAGAGACGAAGCAGAAGGAGGCGCTGTCGTGGACGCAGCAGTACGTGCAGCAGCTGGACATGCAAAGACAGGAGGGTGAGCTGCTAGCAGCTGGACAGACGGGACAAGAGACGTTGGAGAGATGTGAGCAGGACGAGCTTGAGACGCAGTACGTGGAGCTCTTGGCGACCTTGCAGCGTCTGAATGAGCGGCAGAGTCGGAAAAAGAAGAAAAAGGTCACGAGTGGTGATAAGAACAAGCTTCGTGATGTACGGGAACAGTTGCAGCAGACGAAACGCCAACTCGTGGCACGTGGCTGGCGAGATCCGACGCAGCAGGTAGATATGAAAGGAAGGGAGAAGAAGAAAGAGGGGGAGGTTTCTAAAGAGGTGGTGAAAACTGTGGACGAGAGAGAGGAGGAGGTGGAGCGGATTCGGGTGTCTAGTGATGCGGTGGTGGATGCTGAGCTGTTGGAACTAGCGTTCGGGATAACAGAGATAGGAGAAGAGAAGGAGAAGGCAACGAAGATTCTGGAGACGTGGGAGGCCGAGGAAGAACAAGAAGAGGGGTCGTCGAGCTCTGTTGTTCAGGCCAAAGATGTGAAAGAGGAGGAGAAAGACAGCAGTGGGGGTCTGTTTGGGTTTTTGGAGGAGGCAGAATCGACTGTAGTAAGTGCGAACGAGATTAAAAAGAGTGCAGCAATCGACACGGCTGCAGTTATTGCAGCCCAGGCGGCGGCTGATCTGGCCACGTTGAAAAGTAAAAAGGGGAAGAACAAGAAAGGTCGCAACATGCTGAAGGTCCAGGCGGCGGAAGCTCAAGCCGTTCGGGCGCAATCTTCGGTGGCAGTGACTTGGACGGGAAAGTCGCCGCGTGATCACTTAGAGCAGCACTGTCGCAAGAACGGGTTTTTAAAACCGCAGTACAAGAAGCTGCCTCGTCCATCAGGCGGAGGACACTTGTACTCGATCATTTTAGACAACAAAGTGTGCGGAAAGCAAGAAGTCTCTGTAAGGGATGCTCGTGATGAAGTGCAGGGGTTTGATTCAATATCGGATGCAAAAGACGCCGTCTCTACGAGCGCTTTGTTTGAGTTAGCGTCTGATCTGCCATTATATCGAGTGCTACCCCCAGTGTACCGCGACATGTGGCAGAAGTGGACCAAGGAGCGGCAAGACCAAGAGGCGGCAGCGGCATCCGTTGATCGCGACGAGCATGATGAATTGATAAGGGAGATCTACAACACGCTTCCGAAAGAGATTGCTGAAAAACAAGCTGTCGTAAATGTACCAAAACTTGCTGTACCGCACCCGTCGCCAGGTGTGAAACAGGGCGTTGCAAGTACTGAAAAAGAATCGATAGAGGACTGGCATGTCGATGACTGGGACGCCGACTTACCCGATGAGGAGAGTTCAGCTGAAACGGAGAATGCAAGTGATGGTCCAGCGGCGTCATTTGAGATAGAAGAAGAAAGTGAAAGTGACCGAAGCGCCGCATTGAAACTGTCTTGCCAGCTGCGAGAACAGCTACAGAAACAAATGCGATCAAGCGCCTATCGAGCAAAGCTTCAGCAGCGCGAATCTCTACCCATTGCATCGTTGAAGAAACAAGTTGTCGGTATGCTGTCGCACCACGATGTGATTCTAATATCGGGTGAAACTGGATGTGGTAAGAGTACCCAAGTGCCGCAATATTTGCTCGAAGAGTTGCTGTTTTCCGAAATGGGAGGTGCTCGTGGTCAGATTGTGTGCACTCAACCTCGTCGACTAGCTGCTATTAGTCTGGCAGAACGAGTCTCTGACGAGCTGGGTGAATCAAACATGGGCGCGGGTGATTCGCTTACAGGCTTTCAGATCCGCCTCGAAACGCGCATGACGTATCGCACTCGCCTGCTCTTCTGTACGACTGGTATCTTGCTACGCAAGTTGCAAGACCCGCGCACTTTAGGCAAGGAAGTAAGCCACGTGATTGTAGATGAAGTGCATGAACGCGACCTTCAGAGCGATGTGCTACTGGCCATGCTACGTCAATTCCTGATGGAAGGTAACGCGGTGAGACGCCGTCAGTTTGGAGGCAAGTTGCCACCGTTGAAAGTGATCCTCATGAGCGCTACGCTCAACGCTGCGAGCTTTCAGAAGTACTTTGGCGGAGCTGCTGTGTGCCCGATGATTGAAGTGCCAGGCCGTACCTTTCCCGTGGGGCAGTTCTACCTCGAGGATGTGCTTGAAATGACTCAGTTTGTTGTGGATGAGGAGTCCCCCGCTTACATTCCAATAGACGGACATGGCACGGACAGAAAGTCTACGCAAGTTACCATCTCAGGTCGCGGGGGTGCGTCCTACACACAACAAGTGTCATGGACCGCTTCTTCCTCCTCGAAAAAGGTAGCAGTGAATGAGACTCAAAGCAAACTAGCTGAAAAGTACAGTGAGTCGACGCTGCTTGCTCTTGAGCGCATCGATCCTTCAGTAGTCAACTATGAGCTTATCCAGGCACTTGTGGAGCACATTGCTTCGGAAATGGATCTGCTGTCAGTGTCGAAGGAAGGTGGTCAGCGAAGCAGTGCGTCGGTACTCGTGTTTCTTCCGGGTCTTCAAGAAATCACCACATTACTCGATATGCTCGGCGGCAGTCGTCTGTTACGCCATGACCAGCACGGTCGCGAATTCGAGCTACTACCACTCCACTCATCGCTTTCGTCGCAAGAACAGCAGCTTATTTTCCGACAGCGTCCAGGAGTCGTTCGGGTAATTGCAGCAACTAATATTGCTGAGACGTCGCTGACGATTGACGACGTTAAGGTTGTCATTGATACTGGACGCGTCAAGCAAATGAGCCATGATGCCCAGCGTCGCACGAATATGCTTGACGAGATCTGGGTTGCGCGGGCTAATGCGAAGCAGCGGGCTGGTCGTGCAGGTCGCACGAGTGGTGGCTCTTGTTTCCGCCTTTTTCCACAGTCGGTTTTCCATTCCGTTATGCTCGAGCAACCGGTGCCTGAGATCCAGCGTGCGCCATTGACGTCGCTCTGTTTGCAGATAAAGACGTTTGGTGCGGGAGGCAACGAGCAAAAGGGAGGTTGCGGGGAGTTTCTTCAAGCATGTTTAGACCCGCCTGACGACGTCAGCATCCGGAATGCGTTAGAGGAGCTTTTCGAAATTGGTGCACTAAAACGCGAGGACGAGGCGCTTACTGAACTGGGTGCGCACTTGGCTAGACTGCCTGTTGATGTGAAGGTGGGTAAATTACTCTTGCTCGGAGCAATTTTTGGTGTGTTCGACGCTGCAAGCACCTGTGCTGCTGTGCTGGAGACAAAATCTCCTTTTGTAGCACCTTTCGGTCGTCAAACTGAAACGAAACAGGCTCGCCGGAAATTTGCAGTGGGTGCGAGTGATTTGCTCACCGATGTGAACGCTTATGAAGCCTGGCGCTACGTTGTTAATCAGGGGAAAAATGGCCGGGTAACTGAAAACAGCTTTTGCCACGATCATTTCCTGAGCCGTCGGGCGCTGCGTGAATTGAGCAAGCTCAAACGCCAGTTTCGAGGACTTGTAATGCAGCTCGGATTCTTGCCGCCACCTGAGTCTGCAGGGAATGACTGCATGACTCTCGAACAGCTGGCGACGATGTCTGCTGTCCTCTTTGCTGGTCTGGCTCCGAATCTAGTCCATGCTGAGCCACCTGTTGCGCGAGGGCCAAAGCGTGCGGTGCTGCGTGAACGCGACCACTTCTGTGTTGCAGTTCATCCGGGTTCAATCAACTTCAAAACGGAGACCTTCCATGCCAGCAATTTTCTCACGTACGCAGTCAAGCTGCACACGTCACAGGTATATCTCCCGGCCTCTAGCCTTGTGCTACCTTTGGCGGTATGCCTGTTTAGCCATGGATTTGAGCTACTACCACAACTGCGACGTTCCGACAAGGATGGCAACGAGACGATTGGCATGCGTGTGAACGACTGGGTGGTTTTTCACGCATCGTTCCGTTCGTCAGTATTGGTGCAGGAATTACGCAATGCAGTTTTCGACATGATTGATGCCAGCCTTCGAACACCACCATACGCACGTGGTGCGAATGTCGAGTCGGAGCTTCAGAAAAGTGAGCGGAAGTCGCTTGTTGGTGTGTTGCGCATGCTTTTTCTAGCCGAATACGAAGAGCGTGACCCGAAAAAGCACCTGTCTGACAATTTGTGCGGGTTCAAGCAGTGTAAGTAGAAGGCAAGCAGCTGATTTTCTAATCCCGTGTAATGGCTCTAGATCTGGTGAGAAGACCCGGTTTTGATCACGTGCTAGGCTGGTCTTTGTTTATTTATCGCCAGCTCGACATCAACGGAATGAAAACCTGTGTTGAAGCTACACGCTCTTTAGTGTCTGTGGCTTCACTGTTGAGACAGAAGACTGCAGATGTGCACAGGCCGTTCGTAAGCTACGATTGTGCTCAGGACGGTTGCTGAGGTTAGTGGTGGAAATGGCCATTCTGAAGCGGATATCAGACCTGCTGTCATGGTAGAACCGTGAAGCTATCGATATCGTCCGTGTCAGCGACCACTCCCACGAACCAGGCTGATACAAACTACTCCCACAGCTTGTCTGCAACGAAGCAACCACCTTTGGTTGACTCAGATACTGCGCTTTGAAATCAACGTGCACGTCTTTCCATCCGCTCCTGTTGTGATGTGACCTTTGCAAAGCGGGTTCACGGCCGACAGAACGTTTCGAGAACCATTCAGAACACGAAGCTGTAAGTGGTTGCACCGTGACGAATAAGCGCATGAGGTGTTCCGTGGGAGATGACGATACCACTGACCAACTTTGTTCGCTATTCGCAGTGAGCAACTCTCTGTGTGGTGCGCTGATGGCATTACCGATTGAGTTTTCTACATTTCGACTACCGTATCTTGCAGAGCGTTCGTCGATAGCTCAGTCAGTGGTCGCATTCAGGACTGGATCGGATGGGTGGGCTCGTTAATACTCAGTCTCTACAGTCTAGAGAATCCTCTGCAGCGGACACTTACGCATTCGTGCACACCAAATCTGGAAACAGGGCGCACAACGACGGAAGGAAGCTGCTTTTTCTGAAAGCCACACTGTAATCGCTGCTTCAGCAAGTTAAGATACAAATTGGGTGCTGCTGGGTGACTACTGTTTCATGTAAATAATAGTCTGTCGGACTAAGTCGCGACATTGTTTCCAGGAGCAAAAGGCTTGGGCTGTAGGTGGGTGACAGTCAAAGAGACAACGGACATTGTCACAGCTTAAAGCGTATCTGGCGGCAACCCATTCTTCTCAATTATCGACTTGCCCTAAATTTTAATGTTTCAGCTGCCAAGGCGGAAGGCAAGTGCACATTTCAACAAACGTGTTTGTCTCTTCGATCCATGACTGCCTCCACCCCGTTACTATCGCTGGCACATCGTCGTCATCAAGATAAAGTCGTTTCTAATCGACAAAAGAGACTCTGAAAAAAGAAATCATTGTCCTGTCATGTCCCGGACTCGATCGTGTCTCTTCTGCCTCGTGCCGTCTCCGAAACTATAAAAATAAAAATAAATAAAGAGACAAACAACGACATTTCACCTAACATCCACTCGCCTAAACCTATCCCTCCCTCGATCCAGCTCTATCTCCGCTCACGTTGAAGTTGTTGTTGTCGTCTATTTCTCCACTATCGCAGACTTACATCTTATTTCAACCAATCACATACCGTCTAAATTTCATGAGAAAAAAGCACCGCGAGTAATAAAAAGAAGAAAATAAATTACGAGAATAAAAGAGAGAGCGATCAAGCCAAACGGCACGCGCCTCCCTCAACGCCCCTACCCTCAAACCACCATCTCCTCCCTCCCTCTCCCTCTCTCCCATGAGCGACAGCGCCTCGAACGACGTGGCGCCTCTGCCAAGTGGTGACGTAGCGATTCCACCGTCGAGTGTCGATGACGAGGTCGCGAATGTCGAAGCGACGTCTGAGCCAAAGGAGGAGATGCACAATAAGAGCACGGGAATTACAGTCGGGGACTCGACGCACACGCTGTCGGATGTACGTCGCACATTCGATGATGCCATTGGAAGAAAAAAAACACAAAAAGCGCACCCAAAACAAATTGCGACGTTTTTTATTCTTATTTTGGGTTTATTTCTTTTGGGTGCTTGTGGTGCTTTTTTTCGATACAATGTGCTTTTTAGGGGAAAACCATCCATTATTCTGCCGAGCGGATCATCGGCAATGGGTCGTTTGGCGTCGTGTTTCAGGCAAAAGTGGAAGAAACAGGCGAGGTTGTCGCGATTAAGAAGGTGCTGCAGGACAAGCGCTTTAAGGTGGGTACATGGGAAAGAATAGTTGTGGCGGTTGGGTAGTATATACTACGCCAACATTGCTTGTTTTGTGTGCTAGTTAGCGATTGACTGACTCCTGTCGTACTGCTTCTTTCTTCCTTTTTTTGCATCGGTCTTTGTCGTGTAGAACCGAGAACTGCAGATCATGCGGCAGTTGCATCATGTGAACATTGTGCAGCTTAAACACTGTTTTTACTGTAACGGGGAGAAGCCGGATGAATTGTATCTCAACTTGGTGCTGGAGTACATTCCTGACACAGTGTACGGTGTGGCAAGACAACTGCAGAAGGCCAAGCAGTACATGCCCGTGGTGCTGGTGAAGCTTTACATCTACCAAATCTGCCGCTCACTGGCGTACATCCATTCGATGGGCATTTGCCATCGCGACATTAAGCCGCAGAACTTGTTGCTGGATCCGAAGTCGCATGTGGTAAAGCTTTGCGATTTTGGAAGCGCCAAGGTGCTGCAGAAGAACGAGCCGAATGTGTCATACATCTGTTCGCGTTACTACCGCGCACCGGAGCTTATCTTCGGTGCCACGGATTATACTACAGCTATTGGTGGGTGGTGGGTTGTTTTCTTGATCATGGTACCGCACGCTGACGTGACTTTCGGAAACCTGTATTCATTGCGTTTCAGATATCTGGTCACTAGGTTGTGTGTGCGCAGAGCTGCTTCTCGGCCAGCCTTTGTTTCCTGGTGAAAGTGGTGTGGATCAGCTGGTGGAAATTATCAAAGTTCTGGGCACACCACAGCGTGAGGAGATCGAGGCAATGAACCCGAGCTACACGGAGTTTCAGTTTCCGCAGATCAAGGCGCATTCGTGGAGCAACATCTTTCGCTCACGGACTTTTCCGGAAGCGATTAGCTTGCTCTCCGAAATGCTCGTATACGACCCCAAGAAGTAAGTAGCATGGTGGAAGTGCGAGAACTTGTAATCAATAATTCTGACGAACTGCTGCGTGTACAATGAAGACGCGTGAAACCGCTCGAGGCCATCGCGCATCCGTTTTTCGACGAGTTGCGACAAGACGATTTGAAGCTGCCAGATGATGTTCCTTTACCCGCGCTGTTCAATTTCACTTTGGAAGGTAGGCAAAGAAGTGAAAAGGTGTTATTGTATCGGTGAAATAACGCGTCCATCGTGTTTGTCCAGAACTATCGGAAGTGGACGCCAGGCTGCGCGAAATTTTAGTACCAGTGCACGAGCGCAACTCAACCAACTGGCCGGTTTTAGAAGACGGCACCTGGCCTGATGCTGCAGCTCGCAGTACCTGAACGCGTATACTAAACGCAAACATAAATACTCGAGGAAGACAGCGCTGAGGTTGACTGAGGTGAAACAAAATGTGTTTGCTTGTATTTCTTGTAGCAGTTACAGGGCAGCTATTGCTGTCATATGCAGTCACGAATGCGCTGTTCTGGTGGTGGCCCATACCTATGTTGTGCGACAAGGTGAAGCAAAAGGTTCTGTACTGAGCAGCCACTGGCTGAGTGTTCTCGCTGATGCAAGCGTAGGATGATTCGGCATGTGTCCGAGTTTCAGTCCCCGTTTGTTGTGTCGATTCGTCGCTCAAGTATGCGCAAGTTCCAGAGGTGTATGGACACGCACCCATACTCGCACTCTACTAAAGAAGTTTCACGGACTTTCTTCAATGTTACAGTTGCTATGGCTTGCAAGAATTGGCCTACTTTGGTAACATTGTTTCGTGTAAAATTCGCCTGGTCGTTTTCTCGCAAATGAGATCCACATCATTGTTAGCGTACGATTCACCAGCATATTTTTCGACGAGCTCAAGTCAAAATACTGTCAATGCAAAAAAGAGGGCATAACGTATCGCCCAGCAGATTACTACAATCGGTAAATTGTCAGCCTGACGGGTGAAGCTGGTAGTGACTGTGCGCACGGTGGTGAATGCCAAACCTTTTTTAAATCGTACTTATTTGTGTGAGTCTGCGTGTGCTTGTAAATAACGCGACCAGATGTATCTTACGCGTACTAAGTGCGATCTAGCCTGTCCCCTCCTCATGTGTAAACGGGTATATTCGAAGTCACTCTTCGACTAGGTCACTAGTGTGGCACACGCTTGTGATTGGCTCAAAATCAACAAAAGGTGGTGGACGGATCAAAGAAGCAAATGCTGGATACTAAAAAGCAAAATCGGCCGTGTTGCTTGAGTATGCTATACTGGATTTATATAGACATCAACAGCGTCATACTCATTCTTCAGTGACTGCTGCTGTACTATAGTGCTCTGTAGCCGGATTCAGCTCTCTGAACTAGATTACTTATATCAACGACGAACTTCACAGCTTACTCTCCTATCTTATTCAGATCTGGTATTTTATCACTTGTAAACGAGATTGTAGAATACTTACGAGAACTGTGATATTCTCAATCACACGAATCGGAAGGCGTACATTGCATAAACGACGGTATTTGTAGCGGTGGTGGGTGGTTAGCGAAAACCTGGTGGTGGTTAATGTTTATCTATTGTTTTCTTTTGTATCAGCTGCTCCTGCCATCGTTGCTGGTGTCGTTGTTGCTTTTGTAACTGATGCTACTGTTGTTGTAGATACCGGTGCAGCTGTTTAATTTAAAACTGGTGTATCTATTGTTTTTGCTGCCATTGTTGCTCACATTTAAGCTGCTGCTACCGTGCTGTTGATGTTAGTGTTCTTAGTGCGTGGCTAATTTTGCTGTCGATGTTGGTGCAGCTGTGCTGTTGTTTTAGTTGTATTGGTGGTAGTATCGGAATTCGCTCCGGCTCGTCTGATACATTTACTTAAGAATGTATCACCAAGGAATTGGAGTATCATAAACTCATTCTATCTGTTTGTCTCTTACTTTGTTTATTCGAATACTTTCAGACTTCTTCGACTGCAGGTTTATTGCAAGCAGGAGAGGTGCAATTGTGCCTCACGCATGTTGTCGAAGTTGAGGGTCATTTTACTGTACGAAAATGTCGCTTCTTTTGTTTCATCCGGACGCTACGGATCGACATCGTACGGATGTGAATCGGCACGTCATTTACTCTGAATTCGACATGATAGTGCTATCTTAAGGTGCCGCATGCACTAATCTGTGTCCAATATGAAGTTACGATAGAAAGCAATATGAGACCGGTACAAGTGCTGTTGGAGACACTTCAGTGCTATCGCAGGAATATACCGGTGCTTTTAATGACATTCAAATCCAACAACAGCAAGCTAAGCGTGGAGAGTTCAAGAGGTAATGACCTTACACACATAGCAAAAGTCCGCTCTGTCACGGTGACAACCTGCGTGACCGTAATCAAGGGCTCATCTAATGTAGCAAGTCAGAAGTATCAGCATATTGCGTGTGAATGGTGATTATAAAAGGTTAAGCCCTTCGTCGAAGCAAAAGGTCGGTTCGTGTGTGCCACATTCACTTGAGTATACTAGGATGTGGGGCAATTTTTGATTTTCAATTATCTAAGGCATTTTAGGGGGTTAATATATTCAAACCACATTTCCTTGTAATTCACACCCTCCTGTTAGAGCCTATATCTGCATTGTAGTATCGAATGTGGGTTTCTTTATGTTCATATTTATTTCAGATTTATCACCCACTACGAAGGTAATGATAGATATTATAATAATAATGCTTGTAAAAGTGTCTTCATTTTAGCCGGATGTAGTTCAGGGCACCCATAGTAAATAAATAATTTATTTTGGGTTCGGTTCAGCAAATACATATTGCTGCTTGTTGACAGGTCATTCCTCGCTTTGAAAGATATTCTGCAATACATGAGAGACCGACAGCATACCTTCAAGCGGTTGCAACTTTCATGCTGCCTTTATTGTGATAAATCACACTTCCACCATAAACTAGAACGCACAACCATCGAAATATGCGATGACCTTGTGCGATATTACGCCCACCTGAACTCTTCCAATATCTCTTAAATCAATTTCGAAGAGATCGCTTTCGTGCTTTTGTTCCTCTGCCGCATCGCGAGTGTTTCCTAAGCTGAGCAAAAAATGGCGTAACCAGGCGTATTGTATGCAGCAACGACTCTGCAACTACTTCGTGCATCCCGAATGATGGTTAAAATATTTTTGGTAATTTCAGTCTAAATTTTCTGTGGATGTTGCAGAAGAGGACCTGATCGACATCACAGGAGGTTGAGAAATATAGCCGTAACAGTTATGGTTTAGGGATGATTATATTGCTATCGTTCAGAAGCGTAAAAACTGTAGCATATTTACATATTATAGACACTACATATATTAAAGACTGCAGCGATGACCTTGATAATACAATTTTGGCCTTCTCATACCCACTGTCTCGCATTGGCATGAACATGCAATCTACATTCCTGTATAGTATAATTTCTCGATAAAGGATTTAAATACAAGCTCTATCTTACATAGACTCTTACAGAAGACGCCCGTTGAGTAAAAAAAAAATAGTTGTAGAAAGGTGTGAAACAGAGGTAGCGAATGAAATGTAGAGTTCTATTATTTGTTTGTTGAAAACAAGTAGTACAAGGGAAGTGAGTGTTATAACTAATTTGGTAAAAGTATTTAACATCAGGTTTGACAAAGGGTGTGAGCTAAGAAATGTGATTGTTGATAAGTCCTCTTTAATTTTTGTGATGACATGGAGCACTTTTTTCTTTTCTTTTTAAATATGAAGATAAAAACGCGCCATCTATCACGAAAACAAAAAAAAAATTGGACGATAGCAACATAGCAATAATGCCTCAGAATCTGGAAAAATGCCCCAGAGAATGAAAAAAAAAAGGCTCCAAATCCTCGTATACTGCAGTTAACCTGGTACATAGTCACCAGCATTGTGCTACAAAAAGAGGACTTAACCTATTGTATTCTTCTTCACACACACAATAGGCTGATAGATCAAAATTTTAAGACATGTGACTCCTTGATTACGATCACGCGCATATCCTCCTAGACACTGTGGACTAATGCTATACTCGCAAATGATGCTACATTATGTCAATACATCTTTGCGATTTACAAAAAGGAGCAAGCTAGGTGCCGTGTGGTTCCTTAACATTTAGAAGGTCCACGAATTACTACTAATTGATTAATAATTATACAAAGAGTTTTTTTGAAGCACATTGAACAGCGCAGCAGGTGATGTGGCACCAAAAATCATTTCTGGAGGGCTGCATGCCAAGTGCTGTTAGCTACATTCCAACAAATTCTTGTTGAATTCCGTATCGTATGCTTAATACAGGGTAAAAAGCATTATTTTAGAATATGACGTGTATGCTAAAGTGCACATAAAACGACGGAGTCAAATGTCTAGTGTATGTTGTTGTTACCCCTTGATATCTGCAATTCCAGCCTGTTGTCTCTGTGCGTAATTTAATAAGCACCAACTAATCCATGAAACAGCACTGAAACATGGCTATCAGCACTAGTAAAGCCGTTTCAAAATATTTGAAAAAGAGTCAAACAGGTAGAATGGACTCATGATAGTCTATCAAATAGATGGTAAAAGCTCAAGTTACTTTATCTTACAATCAGGAACGTGTTCATATCTTCTAGTAAACAATTACAACAGCAGCACAGTAGTACTAATAACATCACATAACAGTAGCAACACCAAATATCCAACAGCAAGTAGCGACAACAACTGCATCAGTACTAACAAAATAAACTTAAGCAGCAGCAGTATCAAAATTAATGAACGGAATTAATTACGTACAACAATAACAACAACGGCTACAACATCTGCGGTAGCGGCAACAACAACAGAAGCAGCAAAAGCTTTAGCAGAAACATCAGCAACTAGCAGAAAAAATGAAAGTAATCAATACGACATTAACACCAATAACAACATATCAAAAGCGAGAACTACAATATTTCATCAATACCAACAGCGTTGGTACATATTGTCTACATTTACGGCAGCAGCAGACAATAAACGTACATGTACACATCATCCCTGTGCCGTCTGCGCCTACAGCCACCGGCTGCAGGCGCAGCATGCTCGCAACGAAACTTCCTACGCAGATCCGACTATTGGGCGGGGGTTCATCACCGACATTCAAGAAAATATAAGGAATGGTATAATGTAATTCTATAGTTTACCACATAAAATATAGATTTTTAAGACGTGGGAATTCTACCTAGTTATCAAGGGCATTTTATTTATCAATTATCTGGACCATTTTTTTCGTGATTACCTGGGGCATTTTTCAACTCATTTAAATAAGTTGTCACACCTCTTGGTATCGTACACTTTGTCTACGTAATACAACCGAAATACATAACAGTTTATT